TTTTTTATCTATATTAAACTAGAAATGTCAATATTGAATTTCCTCTCACATTTGGTTGAATGTAATGCATATACTCCTTCATTTGGTGGTTTTGTTCAAGGTAGATTGATTTTGTATTTTGCAGGTGATAGAACAGGTATTCTTGACTAGACGCCTCATAGTATATTCTTAGTATATTTGATACGTACTTTGATAAATGATGTTTGGAAAATGTTTTAAATTTGTTTTGGTTCTTTATGACAACTCAACGCACACAACATTAAATCGATATATTTGTGTGAATATTTACGCTAAATTCATAATAGCTTAATGGTATGCGAGATTTTGTCATGGGAGGAATACTTGCAATAATTGTGTGGCTGGACTCAGTGAATCACGAGATTGGATCTGGCACAACTGGAGAATACTTGCACACCAATTTAAACTAAGACGGAGATCAATTTATGACCGTTCAGGATCGACACATCTGTCAGTGCTACGAGTGCCACCCATAAAGTGAGTGAGTGACAGAGGTTTGCGGGCCGCTTTTAACACTATTCCAGCAATATCACAACGGGGGATACCAGAAATGGGCTTCACACATTGTACCCATGTGGTGAATCGAACCTCAGTCTGCGGCGTGACAAGCGAACGCTTTAACCACTAGACTACCCGACCACCTCGCCACACATAAAAATCCCATTTACAATCATCTCTTGTCAAGGAAAACAATTCATGCGAAACTGAAGCTTTTATTAATTGTGTGGGATTTGTTTTGTTGTTTTATCGGATAATTCTTTTCAACAGTTAGGCACTCTAACGAAATAAAGCCAGGGACTTGAGTCAAGTAGCATAGCCTCTCTGCCAGGCATAAATAAATAGGAAAACGCTGCTGTTGACAGCCACGAAGAGGGGTGAGTACCGTGTTAGATCCACGGGTCTGTGACGATAACTTGGTAGAGGACAGACATCTACACACGACGTTGCTAGGCTAGAGTCAAAAGCCTATTCAGACAACACGTCTATAGGTGTTATTTATCCCTCGTTACTCCCGCTGTCAGTTTGACTTAGCTTTGGAGAGTTATAACAGTTTGGCGTTAACTGTTTTTGTGTTCTGAGAGAGTGCGCTCAAGTGAAAAACCATATATTGACAAATATGGCCGGTAGTGTTGAAAGGCATGGGCGTTCGGTATAGTTGTGATGTGTCAGTTCGATCAGCACGCTTCTGTCCTTGAAGGAAAGTTTAGGCAAAACGCCTGACTGATAACGGAATATAGATATTTGTTTAGCAATGAATTAGCTTGGATATCGTAAATATGTTTTGTTCAAAAGATCAACATCATCACGTCGACGTGTAGAGTCTCTGTTTGACTATTTTGATATAGTTTAAAAAAATGTGTATATTATTTCTGTTGAAAGAACTGTCTAGACTGATCAATTGGAAACCCGTTTTAAAGGTATAAGTTTCATTTCTACTGACCTTGTACACAGTTATATTTGACAACATTTTCGTGACATGTACATTTGTTGATTTTGTTCCATAACTTTGAGGGGCGGTGGGGTAGCCTAGTGGTTAAAAGCATTCATTCGTCACACCGAATACCCGGGTTCGATTCCCCACATGGGCACAATGTGTGAAGTCCATTTCTGGTGTCCCATACCGTGATATTGGTGGAATATTGCTAAATGCGGCGTAAAACTAAACTTACTCACTCCATAAATTGTATCACTCCGCGTCAAGTGTTACACGTCGCTTATAGTAACCGGTTTTCTTTGTGCTAACTGGTAACCGGTTTTCTTTGTATTAACTGGTAACTCGTTAATAATAACATATTGAAACAGTGTAAGTTATATTTGAACACGTACGTGTATAACACTAAAGAATACATGAAGAAAAATATCTCTCACTTTCATTTAAAGCCATACAAAACCAGTAATATAAAATTCAATTTGAAACCCCAGGGTGATGAAACGTAATGTTGAGATTGATAAACTCACAATGAAATATAAAATATTTCTTGATATCAGACCCAAGGGATTTTAGTGGTACCTTGTCCCCTAAGTCAGCTTCAACCCACTAAATGTTGATTGTACCCTGATGGCGTTGATTGTCTTAATGTCACCAACCGCTGGTGTGTCTGGCCCGAAGACACGGAACACCCATGTTGACTAGATTCAGCCACAGGACGGGGCGGTTGGGTAGTCTAATGGTTAAAGCGTTCGCTCGTCACACCGAAGACCCGGGTTCGATTCACCACATGGGTACAATGTGTGAAGCCCATTTCTGGTGTCCCCCGCCGTGATATTGCTGGAATATTGCCAACAGCGGCGTAAAACTAAACTCACTCACTGAGTCACAGGACAAGTTTCTGCATGTGGGACAGGTTACTGCCTAACATATGCCCGAACATAAGTACACTTGAGTTGATTAGCTGAAACACACGCAGACAGACTATCCGGTGATAATCCGCCATATAAACCTCCTTATAGTACAGGGACAAAGCTGTTGATTTAAACAGCTTCCTCTGATCTACTTATGTGCCTCTGGTGAAATCCCACACTGCTGTTGGAGTATTTAGACACTGGTTCGAGGGGTCTTTAACTCACAATGGAAGAGCAGAAAGCTATTCTGAGTTACATATGTAGGAAGGTAATCTGATTTGGGAAACAGCTTGTTTGCAACACGTCAGTGACGCCACTTGCCGTGAGTCTTTGTGTGTGGTTTAGTTCAGAGCTGAATTGGTTGAGTGAGTGAGTGAGTGAGTGAGTGAGTTGGGCTTTACCTCGCTTTAAACAACCTTTCAGTTTATTGATAACGTAATGTTTTAGGGAAGTCCAAAGTGACACAGGTGGTAGACGCTTGCTACTTTGCTAAAACTGACAAAGATACAGTCTGACTAAAAACACGGGAAATTTGGCATTCGGATCGATTACAACAGGATCCCGGCATGTAAAAGGGACGCAACTCTATGAATGATCTATGTTGCAGTGAACTACTGTGCCACAATGGATAATATGCCGTTAAATTCAATAACACAAGAAACATGGAATCACTTTAGGCTGATGTCGTTGTTCGGTTGTAGAGACATGAATAGCTATAGGCTATGTAGATTCATTTTGTGAAAGCGTGTGGACACGGCGGGTTAAGGTAACGATACCGGCTATGTTATTCAGACGGTTATTGTGCAACTGCATATGCCTGTGTTGAACGTGCACGTATGGCGAGGCAGTTTGGTATGTCAAGTAGGGATTCGTGAAAGGGCACAATGGGTTCTTTTATAAGTTTCAGATCGTATAAGCCTTTTGATATACACTCGTTGAATAAATTCAATATTGCATAATACATGTTAGCTGGATCTACAGTTATAATTCAGCATATTTTTTGTAACTAACAATCCTTTAAGAACCCTTATAATAAGATTGTAACTATGAACAAAATTCATAGGTAATAAGTAAAGAAAACTTGTTGCCGATAGTAAATGCTCCGAAAATTATCGAGGTTGAAATACTCCAAGTGACCATGAACGAACCGGGTATATCATATTGGTACATCCCGGAGTTAACCCGATAACTGTCTGTATAGATAAACAATCCGAGACATGTTTCCTATTAGTGTGGTATAAATATAATACTGTTCTCAGAGGCGTTCACCCAAGCTCACTCCTGTTCCATTCACACCAACTAGAATTGTTAATCATACAATTGAGTATATGAGTCACGGTCCTTCTTCATGACACGAGGCAGAAGAATAGGTATATAGCCTAGTGGTGAAAGCGTTCGCTCGTCACACGTAAGACTCCGGTTTGCTTCCCCAGATGGGTATACGTGAAGCCTATTTCTGGTGTCCCCCGTCGTGACTACACTGGAATATTGCTAAAAGCGGCGTAAATCTATACTCACTCCCCATGTCAATCTACCCCAGTCTAAACGTCTGTCCCGCTCATTATGCCTGTCTAGGACAGTGGGTGGTAGTACATTAAGGTATTACTCTAGTGTGTGTACTTTTCTGAAACTCGATAGACCCGGTGTTTTCTTTTGTCCCCAAGTCCCATTAAGCAATGAATGTGATTCTCTGGCCTCCTGCTGATCAGAAATATGGGCATATATTGACCCAGCATATTTCGAATCGGGTTTACAGGTGGATTCGTGATCTGAACCAATTATATTTGCTTGCGTCTGTGGTGTTTGTTTGGTGCAAGGTCGCATTGCCAAGGTAGCAGCTGAAATATTGCTTCCGAATGTCTTGTTAGAAGACGTGTTATGGGTGCTGGAGAACCCGACAAGGTGTGATAGCCTTAAATCATCAGCTTGGTGCCAGGAACCAAGACTACACAGGCCTAGTGGGAAATCATAATTGTTCTCTATGGCATTGAGTTATGGCGGTGCTGACTTAGGGAACAGAGCCAAAGGCCACGAATGTCAACGATAGGGTTTAGTGTGTTCTACCTATAAATGATGATATGCACGCCATTCAGTATATCACTTGAAACCTCAGTATTACTTCGACTTATCTGGGTTTCGATACACGAGGGACATCGAGTACGCAACGATGCCTGAAGTGCACAATGGCAAAGTATAAAATAAATAACACTGCAACCTCCATTTCCAGCAAAACATGGTTACAACAGAACTGCCTAAAATATCCGTAGTTTGTTACTTGTGATTCTTACTGGAGTTCTCCCACTATCCATATGGACTAAGTATTAACTTTGATAATATATATTGAAGAACGTTCAATATCAGTTTCGTACATATAAGGATTAAAATATTTTATGTCACTTGCTATGAAGGATCATGAATGTTTTACCAAAAAGAGATCTTCTGAAATAAGTTTAACAATAATTAACTACACGTGATGTCCAGCTACACCGCAGTTTTTAGCAACGGAATTGATCGTGCTCTTGGATGCTGCAGTCTCTAACAAAGATTATCGTTCTTACATGAGAACATCACAATTTCAAAAATAATGGTGTAAGTAGGAAGGACAATATTCCAGTCTAACCTTGACCGCGTCATCTTACCTCTCTCAGCTTCATCACCCGCTGAATCAACCCACGAGGACAGGTCCTCCTCTCTGAACTTCCGGTTAATGAGCCTGCTCAACTCATTGGTAGTTTGACGTAATTCCTTCAACTGTTTGTTAATTGATGACGTCACGTGTTCACATTCTGAATAAATGTTGCCGATGGAGACAAAGTTGTCATGAAAATCCTCCTTTTCGAGCACGAAATCTTTGAGAGGCTTTGCTGACAACTCTGAGTGGTATTTCCCAGAATGGTCTTGGCACGGCACAGTAATCCTTGGATGTTGTCCTGCATGTCATGAATAGCTGATGCTGCATTCTGAAGGTCCTGGGAGTCTTTGTTTATTTCTCGACGCTGCCGTACAGGTGACTGTTGCTGGGGAGATGAAACTTCAGAGTTGGTAGAGGACTGATGCTCCTCATGCTGTGATGCCGCACTATCCGTCTGTGGATGATGATCATGCTGTGATATTGGGCTATCAGTCTGTCTGTCGTCGTGATTTAACACAATACCACTGTCTCCATTGACAACTCCTTCGTGTTTTCCATCCATAGTATCTTCTTCTACCTCGGATTCAGATGCTGTTTCCTCCTCTGAATCTTCCTCCGAATCCTCCTCCGATTCGTCTTCCTCGTCCTCTTCCTCCTCCTCAACACCTACAGTACCGGGCTGGTCGGACGTACTGATGTTCACAATCTCTCCTTCATTCCGTAGAGTGTAAACAGTTTGGGAGCCCGAGCCAGGGAGATCCCCTGCCTTCTGTTGGTTACCCTGTTTCGAGGTGGCATCGGCTTGTCCTTCTTCCTTGTCTGCCTCTTTCCCCTGATCACCCTTCTCAAAACTAACCTGCCGTCTACCTGTTGATTTACTGGGACTGGATGTAGCTTCCGGACTGGTAGACTTTCGTCCTAAATCACTCTTAGACACGTTCTCGTTTGAGCCTTTGTTTTCATAATCGGGTTTGTTAGAGATTTGCGTATCTGGGAGATTTCCTGCGTCGCCGTTTACAAGACCCTTTCTGTTTCCTGCAGGCGTCGCTCTATTACTAACATGTGTTTTACTAGTGGTGTCATCCACTCCTCCGTCGTGTTGACGAGAACAATCCGCTGTCGGCATGATGCCTCGTCGACTGCCCCCGTGGTCAGATTCTCAAGTTGTCGTGTTGACTTATCCGCGAATGCCGTTGTTACAATACTACACCCGTGTTGCCAACAGACAACACCGATAATAAACGGCGTAAATCTTTGGATAATACAGCATTGAAACCAGTTCGCTTCAATGCCTTTCTCGTAGCAGTGACAGTTTACCGCAGGAGGGTGGAACGCCGGGGCTGTTAGCAGGTGCTCGTCAGGTTGTGGGTAGGATATTTATGCGATCTATGCACGGCACAGCGCGAAGCAGACCGCGTTATGAAAAGAGGCTATTGTGGGCCGCATCAAAGTTTTTCAAATGCTGAAAGATAATACAGGGAACATTGTGGGGACGTATTGATTGAGTGATCGCGATCGCTAGCAACCTCATTGTAACTGGAGAAGACGTAAACATTGCACATGGGGCAGCTAGGCTGGTGGTTGTCGCTAATCGTATCGCTTGACAGGTTACTTGCGGGGGTTGACGACTCAGCTAAATGTATCAGCTTAATGAGACTGGGGCATTGAATTTGCTTCTAGTTGTCAAACAAACAAACAAACAAACAAACAAACAGACGTTGAATCATTACATGAAGGTTTTGCAATACATTAGCACAATTAAACGGTGGTGTTTCTAAATGATTGATGGAACGTTTAACTCTTGTTCAGCGATATATTTGTAAAGCGAAACGTAAATAAAAATGTATAGATACTTATGTCAGTAAATAGATCCTAAGTTATTTTGAACAATCCAATGTAGCACACCCCAGCAAAGAATAATAGAATCATGTTGAGTGTCTTTGACGAATGAAATAACATTCAGGTTGCATTGTTCTACATAGATATACTAAACTGTATCATATGTTTGCCTTCTTTGTATTTTAAAGTAAATTCCAACAATAGAAGTAATTCATAAGTAGTTTACTGGTATTAAGGGAGTTAACAGTTACATGCCTGTTTATTCAATTGCCTGGTACGCCTTATGGGAGATTACTGATAGTATTACTGATCCGCTTGACAAACATGATTGTATGCTTGTTCGTCACGAATCCAAACATTATGGATTTCTATTGATTGTGTCGGCTGTAAAATATGCCATAACTCACATACTTCTTGAGGGAAAGTACTGAGTGTTGATAGTTATGGCAGCTGCATATCGATACTCCTGGAGGCCCGTGAAGATCCGGGTTAGAAGTGATCTTCGGCAACCCATGCTTGTCGTAAGAGGCGACTAACGGGATCGGGTGGTCAGGCTAGCTGACTTGGTTGATACATGTCATGGTATCGCAATTGCGTAGATCGATGTTCATGTTGTTGATAACTGGATTGTCTGGTCCACACTTGATTATTTACAGACCGCCGCCGTATAGCCGAAATACTGCTGAGTGCGGCGTTAACCAACAACCAACCAACCAACGATGATCCTGGATACTTTCTACTTGCTGTAGAGAAGTTTACTAAACAGCTTCATTCATGATATAACGCCCATGTTTATAAGCAATATTCCTTCCACCATATTAATACTCATGGTTCTGTAAAGATCCGTGGGAGAAGTAGTATTCAGCAGCCCCTGCTTGTGGTTAGAGGTAACTATGTTTGTTGAAATAGGCGACTGATTGACGCTCAGGCTTCCTGAGGTGGGTGATGTAATGCATGTCGTCGTGTCAAGCGTGATGGTCCAGACAAGATTATTCTGGGACTGCCGTCATATATCTGGAATGTTTTGACGACAAAACAACAAAAAAATTATTCATGGGGTTACACAAAACAATGTGTCCATCTTTCCTACAATCTTTTAGAGGAGATCTTTTCAGGAGTCACTTAAAAAAAAGTTGAGTAATTATCGACCACCAAAAGTGTGGTGTTATTTGGATAACCCGTACAAATAGAGAATAATGATCATGGCCTTTGCTATACCAGTCCTTGTTTGACTTTAATTCGACAATACTTTGAGCATAACACAGATTGAAAACAAAGCACTGTTGTAAAATCACAACGACACGGGCTGTCAATTAGTGTTTAACCTTGGTGTTTATAGCATGGGAATTAGTGTTTGTGCCTGATTAATCATTTTGACAAATCTCTAACACAAATGGATCAGCCGTCAGCGACAACGCGATTGTACGAGCGCATCAGGAAATATCTGATCGCCGTTCGAGTTCAATGGTAACGTTTCAATCTTTCGGTGTAGTCTGGTTGGATTTACAAATCACTTTTGATATCAGTTGGATTTAATGTTCACTAAACGTGAGACAGGAGGTAAATCTCATGCACAGAAAATTAAAGTATCCTTGCAAATATGTTACGGCTCTTTGAAGAATATCGACTAAATGTAATCTCTATGCAACTGAGTGAGGATAATTTTGTGACGATACAGTGAAGTATGTACACAACTGCTGGAAGTTCGTGACGACATACTACCATCTGCAGCATATGTTAAATTACATGTTCAAATACACTTTCCCCAGAAATTATTGAGAAAATGTTTGTTTTCTGATACTGATAATAGAATTTAAATGTAGGTATATACGTCTTTGGTACAATGTATTACATTATGTAGTAAGGGACTCAATATGGGAGGCAACTCTTGTAGGCTTAAGAATGAACCTTACTACATCAAGAGTTATCTGCCCTGGTGTAGCAGACGGCTTCATTTGTTGACATGGCAGATTTGACAGCAGTTGAGAAAAGAAAGCTGGTTCTGGATGATTTTGAAATTGGTGTGATTAGTGCAAAAGATTTAGCTGGTAGACATGACATTCCTCTGTCTTTGAACTTTGAAGAATATTCATTCAGGAGTTGGGACTGAGCACAAGACAGGGGCATTGAGGCCAAGAAAGTTCAATACTACGGATCGCCGACGACTTGGTCAGATTGTGAGTAGGGGAAAATTGAAAAGCGTTAGGAATATCAGAAATGAGATGACTAATAGAGGAATTCATCAGGTATGTAATGAAACCCTTAAACAAGAATTACAAAGACTTAACTGGGTGAAAAAGCGGAATTCCTTCACGATTAGATGACGCGTAGGGCTCAGGAAAATCATGAGATTGGGATAATGTTTTCTTTTCTGATGAAAGTTCTGTCTGGCTTTTTCCGAACTGTGTGAAACTTTGGACAAACAATATCGTGAAACCTATCTACCAACGTCCAAAACATAGACCGAAATTTCACATGTGGGGTGGGATATCATCACGTGGATTGACGCCGTTGTGTATTTACACTGGAAATCTGACGAAGGCACGATATGTTGACATCTTATATGATCACGTCCTTCCAACGGCCCGAACACTGTATGAAGATAATTGATTTTCCAGCATGATAAACACCCCAAACACACTGCGGGCTGCACTAAACAGTGGTTGTCGGACTGGCCCAGCTACAGCTCAGGGGCTCCTCTCACGAAGCAACCTTTACAAAGTTTAACCTTAACTCCCATTCTTTAACATTATTCTAAGGTTACCTTAATGACTTACGATCACCTTAGTGCTTTGTGAAAGGAGGTCCAGATCGGTAGTGTACCTAGGCGCATTAAGTCGTGTAATACAGAGCAAGGAGGTCTCACAAAGCACTGAAAAGGCACTTAGACTGTAAGAGAATCATATCTCAACATATTCATTCAATAAGTAAAACTTCTATAGTTTATATACATGTATTAGATATTTGCTTAAACAACTTTCTCTAATTATATAAATACTAAACAATATAAAATACTTATATAAATAATACAAAAGAAATGTATATGAATGATAAGTACGAGTGTCCTCATGCAATGAATAGCAATATGGAAGGGAGACAACTCCCGCAGCCCCCATGTTCCTGCACATGATCGCGACCTGGATATTACATCAGGCAACAATAAGGTGAGTGAGTGAGTTTAGTTTTACGCCGCACTGTAAATAATCGAGTCTGGACCTGACAATCCAGTTATCAACAGCATGAGCATCAATCTGCGCAATTGGGAACCGATGACATGTGTCAACCAAATCAGCGAGCCACCCTATCCCGGGCGAGTGTTTGGTGCCAGACAATATTTCCGTGTCTTCGTTTCGTGACATGATGCAGTGGATAATGTCGGTGAACAACAACAACAACAACAACAACAACAACAACAGCAACAACAACAACAACAACAACAACAACAACACGCTTAAAACGCTTCGGACATATCAGTCCGGTACTGATGACATACTTGCTTGTTTCAATCGAAAACGAACAGGGTCACTTATTTTGAACGGTCGTTTTTGTTGTTCTTTTTAAAAATAAAAGCCGTGTTATTTTGTCCGGACTCGATGGTTGCTTGTTTAAGTGTATCTAATGGAACAGGGATATACTAATAATGGTGGAAAATCGGAAGATGTGGGTTAGATTTCAACTTCAGCACTCCATACTTCTGGTAAGAGGCGACTAACGGGAATAAGACATTAGTGGTAATATAATGCTCGTGACTTGGTTGCTGGATGCTAAGTACTGTATCTAATGTACGCAGATGATGCACAGGACGTCAGTCAGTGGATGATCTCATGCCCGACTTGATTATACAGACCGCTTTACAGTTCTCAGCCGTCAGACAACGTAATACTGAACAGGGACCAGCAGAGTGCTGCCTACTTTCCAGCCACGTGACGTCACAACTGAAATAGTCACAATGGTAGTGACGTCACAGCTGGTATCTTAATGATGACGTCATAAGATGAGGTTGGATCTGCATGTCACGTGACGCTATTGTTGTCTATCTGCCTGGAACACAGCCGCGTTCAACTCGCTCTCGCTATTTTGTCAGTCCTCATTTCCCCACGACATCAGGACAGGCTGTACAAGTTGTCTTTCATCTCAGCCGTCTTCCCCATGGCACACAAGTAATGGTGATGGCGGAAAGATGGGATGAAATTGGAGTTTTGTGTTCGATTCCCGAACATGATTCATCCCTCAGATACTGACTGCCGTGCCGTCGGGGACAGAGCAGGACATGGGGAAGGTGAAGAG